TGCTTCCTTTGCTTTTGTGCAGTGGCTGGCTAGACCTCTTCTAGAGTACTCCTTAACAGTCTGGAACCCCTTGGGTACCCCTCTGGTGTATGCTAACATGTACAGCTGAATCAGTATATGTGTGCACTGTATATACACACATCCTCAAAGCTGCAAGAAAAAGTTAAATCTTGGTAAAATTATTAAGACTAAAACATTCAGGCTGCAAACAATCCTAAAGAAAGTAGAAATTATTTAGTAAATCAAGATAAAAAATAGAGAACAAAACTAATTGGAATAAATGAAATTAGATAAGAAATATTGGTAAAACTGTAACAAATCTCATGAGCAGCAGAAATAAATTTCAGTATTACAAATGAGAACAGAAATGAGATTTTGTATAGAGAGGTTAATATTCAGCCCTAAGGAGAACCATTTTTGCTTCAGTAACTTTAGGTTTCTTATAGAAAAGTTGTGAATCTAGTCAAACAAAACCTGTATATTAAAGTTTAAACTCACTTAGCTTATTAATTTGAAGCTGGGTCCGGGCTCAGTTCACAAGACGATTACAGAGTGAGTTCCCGGAGATTTTCTGGTTGATGCCTCCTCGGTGATAGCAAGATGATAAATTGTGTGTGGGTGGTGGGGAGGAGGGGAGGGGTTCATGGAGGATTTATTATAGTTTCCAGGCTTTTGTTGTACTTTCAAAGAAGGTGATTGCTATTATTTTTATTTTTTATTTATTTATTTATTTTTTAAGATTTATTTATTTATTTATACAAGCACTGGGTACAGTCAGAAGCGTGGGAGGATGAGAGAATTCACCAGAGCCAGAGCAGGGAGCAGAACAGGCAGAAGGACCGAAGTACACTGCTGAGGAGAGCAGCGGGCGGCAGGAGAGGTCTGCGCGCCATGTGGGACCCTCCCCTGGTGGCCTGGGAGCAGCCGGGGATGGAACCGGCGCTGCAGAGGGTGCGGGCAGCTTCGCAGCCCAGTGCGCAACCGCTGCACCACTGGGGAGGCCCGATTGCTATTATTTTTAAATTGTTTTAAAAATAAGCTAAGTGTGTTTAAAGTTTAATACACAGAGTATTCCTGATTGGGAATGTCTGCATCTTGAGGAGCCTCAGAAATCTAAAGCATCTGTAAGGCCTTTACGGGGCTCATTAGGGCAATGTCTGTCAGCAACATCAATTCACAGACTTGAGCTGGATGGTCCAGGTTCATAAGCTGTGATATTTTCTGTCAGAGCTGTCTGTACATGAACTAGACAAAATTCTCCTTATAGGAAATGGTCCAGCATAAGTTGAAACAGTATCTGAAGAGTTTTCTGTGGTGCACTATGGCTGGTGGCAAATATTTGCTACTCCTTCCTTTGAAAGGTGGGGTCTCTTTGCCCTCCTGAGTAGTCTTGCCTGCTCTACACCAGCTTTGACCTGTTGTAAGGACAGGAAGGACACAGTGCAGGTTTTCTGATCCAGCAGACCAGGTAAAGGAGTCCTAGAGAGTCCTCGGTGGGTTTTGCAGCCTTTTTATTTAGATTTACCAGGCATATGGCAGGCAGGAATGTTGGGGGGCCAGAAGGCTGGCACTCCTCCCAGCCCCCAGCAAATCATCACTCTATCTGGGCTCTCTGGCTTTCTCTCTGCTTCTCTTCTTCTCTCGGCTTCTCTGCTCCTGCTGGCATCCCCGTGACGCCATCCTTAAAAGCCCAGTCTTAGCCCAGGTGAATCCCATCTACATATGCCCACACCCTATTCCAGATGCCCGCCATCAGGCATGCATTCAGGACCGCAGGGAGGGTCCTGCAGGAGGGTAGAAAAGCCTGATACTTTTTACCTTACCCTACAATCCACCCCCTCAGGGTTTTCTGACAGACAGTCTATACAAATCATACAAGTTTCTCTTGGCAAATAGGAACACTACAGCCGTGGCCCACAAAAGTAAAACACTGTACATCACAATAAAACAATATAACAAAATACAACAGAACAAAATAAGTCTAGGCAGGGCACCGAGTTAGTGGCAAAAGACAATTATTGGCACCAGCAGATGATCCACCAAATCTGCTGCCGAAGGCACTGCTCATGCAAGGGAGGGCAACCATTCACGGCATCTGCCCTAACACACCAGGAGCCGTCAGGCTTCCTAGCCTTCTCTGGCTGTGGTCTCAGCCACAAGCCACACAACGCATCCACCCCCAGGACGCACTCACTCTGGGATTGGCAATTCTATACTGTTGGGGGTAATCGCCAACCCTCAGGGTTTCTGTCTGCGGTCGCTCCAACACTCGGCCTTCACAGCCACCAATGCGACTCGCAGACCCCTGCACTCAGGCCAACCCACTGCACAAGCACATGGGTCGGAGATCTAAATTCCACATGCAGCCTCTCTTGGGTCCCCTCTTCGGCTTGGGCTCCACCCCAAGCCACACTCCCCGCCCATCCCCCAAGGACAGGTTCCTCAGATCCTCATCCTCACTCGACAACGAGCAGGGCATCACCCACAGGTGATTTTATGAGACTCACTGGCCTTCTTCAGCTTACTTAGTGCTTAACAGCTGCTCAGGGCTTCCCCAACTTACCATCAGTACCAACTTTTGCCTTCTCAGTTGGCTTTTCTCCTCTGCCTAGCTGCTGGGCACACACAGGCTGCTTTCAGCCATCAAGGCCCACTGGCCACCCCCAGATTCCCATCTCCTGGGGTGTACAAACAATAGCATCCTCCCCCAGGGTCCCAAAAATTTAACTTGCCAAAGTTCTTCCACCTTCTGGCGGGACTGTCAGTCCAAGTTCATCAGTCCAAGTCCATTAAGCCTCTCCCTGCATCAGCACTGGCGAGCTCCGAATCACGGCCCTTTCCCTGATGATTCTGCTGCCTCATGGGTCTTTGGTTGGTCCTCTTGGGCCATCTCCTTCACGCGAGGTCTTGTCCTGTAGCTCCTGGACCTTGTCCACCTCCTGTGCCGCCATGACATGTCCAGCGTTGTCACAGGGAAACAGTCTGCTACTCCTCAGTCCCTCCAGGTCTTTGGAGGGCTCTATACCCATCTGCATGGATCATCTTGCCGACTTATGCCAATTGTAAGGACAGGAAGGACACAGTGCAGGTTTTCTGATGCAGCAGACTGGGTAAAGAAGGAGTCCTAGAGAGTCCTCGGTGGGTTTTGCAGCCTTTTTATTTAGATTTACCAGGTATATGGCAGGCAGAGGTGCTGGCTGGTGGGCTGGGAGGCTGGCAGTCCTCCCAGCCCCCAGCAAATCATCACTCTATCTGGGCTCTCTGGTCTTCTCTCTGCTTCTCTTCTTCTCTCGGCTTCTTTGCTCCTGCTGGCATCCCCGTGATGCCATCCTTAAAAGCCCAGACTTAGCCCAGGTGAATCCCATCTACCTATGCCCACACCCTACTCCAGGTGCCCGCCATCAGGCATGCATTCAGGACCACAGGGTTCCGTCATCTATCCTGATGGCAGGAGGGCAGAAAAGCCTGATACTTTTACCTTACCCTACACCTGTGGAATGCAATGAAAATTATTGGGGTTCAGATGATGAGATTCGGACTGTGGGGTTCTTGGGTCCCTCTGAGAAAGAATTCAGATGTTACCATTCATCAGCACTCAGCAAGTTTATTGAGGGAAGGAAAAAAAGGAGAGAGTCGCCTGCACAGATAAAGGCGGGCAATCTTGAAAAACAAGAACTGCTCAAAGACTGTCTTAATAGATGTGGTAAACGATCATTAAAACTAAACAACTTTATTATTCTAATGGTAGAAATTCATTAAGTAATATATTACATTTAATAGAAAAGCCTTTTTCATTAAAACTGAGAACAGGAAATTCCATTTATATATCGTTTAGAAAAGCAAAAAGTTAACACAGCACTACTGCTAGCAGACAGGGTGAGGGGCACCCTGAAACCCCCACTCACACACTTTAAATGGTTTCTGCCATTCACCACATAAAGACAAAGAATACTTAGCGTGAAAGAACTTTAATAGTAATGCAGTGACAAAGGGACTGGTCTTCTCCTGCCCACCAGATAAGCATTCCAATCTATTGCATTTAAGTATGTCTTAAACAGCAGGTGTTAACAAAGCAAGCTGGCACACCAGAAATCTCCATATATCTGCATCAAAAGGACATGCTGACCCTTGGCCACCTCCCCCCACACCCCCTTTTTTTTTCACTCCTTTGTATAAATATCCCTGCACAATGCCAAAGAGCAGGATGGTGGTCTTTCAAACAGGAAGGAGTCTGCTGCCCTTCTCAGTCTGTTGAAAAATTAAGTATTTTCCTTCTCCTCAAACTCGTATCTTTTTATTGGTTGGGGGAAAATGAGGCTGATGTTTTGTATCAATAGGACTAGTATGCACAGGGAGAAGAGAGGATAAGTTTCCCAATAAAACACCCAGTTTTCCTTCCTCTCATGGGAAAATGCCCAGTCAAGCGGGGCTGGCTCAAAACAAGGCTGCTGAGGCCTGAAAACTTGCCACAAGTCTAAGGCAACTTCTGGCAGAGAACCATAGGAAAGGGGCAGAAGGGACCATGCGAATCTAGGAGGACAGAAGCAAAATCAAAGTGACAGGAGTGTGGGAGGGAGATGAAAAGGGCACCGTGCATAGTTTAAGAATCTGCACATACTCACTGAGAGAGGCTGCTCCAGAGCGGACCGGAGAAGCAGCACCACAAATTTTCGGAGTTGTTCACCATCTGGAATGAAAGCCTTCCCCCCGCCCCCCACTGATCATTAACTGTTTAATTCACTATAAATCAGCCAGTTAGAAGGCCTCCCTGGTGGCCTAGGGGTTAAGTCTCAGCACTATCACCACTAAGGCCTGTGTTTGATCCCTGGCCAAGGAGCAAACCATATATGGCACAGCAGATCTGTCCTGTCTTGCCTGCTGCTCCCCTTAGCAGTGTATTTCAATAAAGCCACCTGTTCTGCTCCCCATTCTACTACTTCTCACCCCCTGCACCTCTGGCCTACATCCCAGTTCTTTGACCCCGCCCCCCCCACAAAAAAAATCAGCCAGTTAGAGATAAGGTGTTAGAATACTTTCGTTGCAGCATTGTGGGACCTTCCCTTTTTTAGTGAGCTTTCACTGTTACAGCACTAAATAAAAATTAGATAAAACTAAAAATATGCCATGCTGTTAGCAGAAGGACAATACAATGAAAACGGCTTTTCAGAAAAACATTTTATTACTGTAATTGCTATCCTACTTACAATTTTTGGCAACATTAATAAAATAACAAATTTTATCTGAAAGAGCAAGCAAGTAAAATAGACAAGGAAATTCACAAAGGGTAATAACAAAATAGTAATCTTGACGGATATTCAATATATTTGTAAACAAAGCAAAGTGACATTGCCTTAAAAAAATATAGGGGTATCAGTAGAAAAACAGAAAACTCCTGAAGAACTCAACTCAACTTCTTTTTGTTACAGGCACAGAAACTGACTCAAGCTAGCTCAGTTCTAAGAAAGAAGCAAAGCCCTTGATGATTATCTTTCCAACTTTTTGTGAAAATCTAATTAGATAGGAAAGAAAGGGGGTGGGTGGGGACATAAAGTGCCTTTAAGGAGATTAAATGGAAATGCAGAGGGCAAATTTGTCTGTTATTTTAATAACATTGGTGAAGATCAATGAACCAAAGAAACTCAATTAAAAGGGGCAGCAAGCCATGTAGGCTTGTGGGAAAAAGCATTCCAAGTAAGAGAAGAGCAGTTGCAAATTCTTTGGATCAGAAGATAAATGATTTGCTTGAGGAAAAGCAAAGCCAGTATGCTAAAAAATAGTACATGTGGGGAAAATGGTAGATGAGTGTGACAGAGGATGACAGAGAAGGGGAGAAAGTAGGCCGGGACCTTATCAGTGGAACCTGCAGTTGGCAACATAGATAGCAATTTGTACTCCTTAGGAGCATGCATTAGTGAAACAGCAAACAGTGTTGGTTAATACTAAGCAACCAGAAAAACACAAAACATTTCATATTTTTTACCACAGAAACAGAATAAGGGAGATAAGTATGCAAAAGTTTGCAGATCTATTTATACACAGAATTCTGTTTCCACATGAGTACAGAACAAGTGGAATAAATACATGAACACACACACACACACACACACACACACACACACACACAAAATCTTTCTATACCTAAAGAAAGGGGTTTGGGCTGAAACTGTAGCAAGTGCCTTGGCCCAGGCAAAGTAACTGAAAAGGCATAGTAAAATGTTCAAAGTGCAAATCAATCAATCAAGCACCCAGTAAATAAATACAACGGATTTATACATAGGAAATAATCTAAAAGATGGAAAATATACTCAAAGCTTTTGTTATCTGGAGTCCTTCCTCCCCAATTCTAAAAGGTATGCTAAGCCCTTGATTATCATTTCTCATCTTTTTGGGAAAACTTGGAATTTATGAGATTGAGGAGGAAGGAAAGGAGTAGGTAAGATAGGGTGTCTTTAAGGAAGAGGCGTAAGCAAGAGAAAAAGAGATTTCTCCTGGTTTAGGTTTATAGCCAAGATCTCAGATTCCTTGAGGTGGTGTACAGAGGCAACTAGGAACCTGGGTCATTATGGAGGAAGAAGGGATGGCACTAGAACATGCCTAGGGAGACTCAATCCTGGAAACCTACAGAAGTAGCCATGGCTACTGATGTTCAGAAACCTTTACTCAGAGAGTTCCCCACAGCTCTGAAAGAGCAGTTGGAGATGGTACATATCATTCTGTATACTCAGATTAGATAAAGGACAGTAATGCTGAGACTAATACTTACTGACATAAATGGGACATTTATTGCACACTGGAGTATGTCAACACCCAACTTCATTTGATAGAAAGGAAAATCATATGCACAACAACACAGTAACTAATATTAATACATTCATGTCCAAGGCAAGATACCAAATTGCAAACTCCACATTTTTAATTAGGATAAGATACAAGTATTCAGAAAAATATAAGGAAAAAAATCCTATAATGCATTTTAGTCAGCAACCACGGGTTGTTTTTACCTGTTTGTACATTAGATAAGCCCCCATTCCAGCTTAACAGCAAGAGAACTAAATTTAGACTAGTCCATGAACTGGACAGATACCATTTGGCCCTTTTTGTTTAAAGCTATGAGTCTAGTACAATTCAAAACACGGACATTGGGACTTCTTTCCCTTAGGAAAGTTCACTTGCTTTACTTCTGTGGCTGAAAGGGATATGGCTAGTTTATTCTAACTAAAGGCCAACCAAGTGGGAAGGGAGGAAACAAACTATATTTTCATTTGGATCACTTAACAGGACCCAGACCACAGGCTCAGGCCCCGTTTTATTAATTACCATTGCTTCTCCTCAGAAACCAATGATATACAGCAGTTGCTGAGTGTCTATAGGGCCCCCCTGCCAAATGCAGGCATTTTATTTTAATGGTTTTGCTTTTTTTGGGGATATTCTTGAGCTAGGGAAAGACACTCTGAGACAGCTATTTTTTGGCTTTGGCTCTACGACAAAAGTATGTGTCTCTCCCTCAGCTGTGACAAGGGGCCACTGCTCTCTTTTGACTTTTAGTCAGTCAACTGACTATTGACTAACTTCCTGGTCACCATACATGTCACAGCTTATCCCTGAACTTCTCCACACCCATGCTTTCAGAGCTAGGTTAATTTAAGCCAGCAAAACAGAGGCACTTCTGGGAGTTCAGCAGCAAACAGGACCACTCCATAACAAAGCCATTCCAACCTGACTAAAGTTAATTCTTCAAGGCATGGACAAAGTTGAAAATAAAATTAAATACTTAAAACACTCTATTGAATCTATATACCGACAGAAGAACTTTCAAACTTGGGCATAACATGAAAAATCCAACATAATAAATAGTTTCCCACTTTTCTTTTTCTTTCCTACACACATATACATGCATAAACACCTTTTATGTGTTAGAAAGACAGAATACACAAAAATCAGGTAATACATTTTAAAATGTAATCTCAAATTAAATATTGCCTTTCATGAATTTTTTAAAAAACCTCATGAGATGAGCCACTGAGTTCACTATTTTTAATGCTACTGAACTATGTAAAACGTGTATTTTTTGTTTTTATTGTGATTTTTACTTGGTTTGAAATATTTGTGATTTACTGAACCTAGGATTAATGCAGGTTTTTTGAAATTCTACTTTTTGACTTGGGAAGTGACGGTTCCGAATCAGAGGTGCTCACGGTAATGGACGCTACTTCCACTGATCCTGGTTGAAGAGGCCCCAGTGACACTTGAATAACAACTTTTGTTTCAGGAGGCAATCCTTCTAGTTGCTTAGGCTTCTTAAACATTTGATGACATTGGGTCTTGTGCTCCATTTTCTCTTTGAAAGTTAAGAACTGTAACCGGCATTTGGAACACTGGTGAACACTCTTTTCCCAGTGTCCTCTATAATGACACATGTATGGTGATGCAGTTTTGAAAATTTTAAGACAAAATGGACAAAGCAAATTCTTGGTGTTTTCATGGCATGTTCTGAAATGTGTTTCTACGTCAGCAAAGACCGATGATCTATAGTTGCAAACCTGGCACACATAGGGCATCTCCCCAGGCTTATGATTGTCCTTCATGTGCTCTAAGAGAACTTGGTCTGTTTTGAATGATAATTCACAAATTTTGCAGACAACAGAAGGCTCCTGGGTAGTGTGTACACTTTCGATGTGACACTGCAGCTGGAAGGGTGTGGGAAACTGCCGGTGACAGTGCTGACAGGTGGTGTGGTTTTCCCAGCTGTCACTCTTCTGCTTCTCAAGTTCCAAATGGTGCTTCATGTGATTCATAAACTTAACATTTTTTAGAACTTTCAAGCAGCTGAGGCATTTAAAGATTGTGTGAGTCTTCTGTTCTGGCTGTTCATCTCCTTTATGCTGTCCATAGTAAAAGTCACTAAGTAACACAATCAGATTTTCTTTCTTGGGATCAACAGTGTTGTTTTGACTTGCGAGACTCAAAATGTCTGGTTTTGCCAATTTATTTTCCCTACTGGGATTTATAGGCTTAAAATGGACACTATCCTTTGGCAAAGCTGTTGAAAAAGGTGCTCCATTCTGAACATGGCTTAATGAGGTATGAAGATCATTCATTGAGGGTATGCTTTGCTGAGCAGTGACTGTATGGACAACACCTGAAGGGGACAAAGCTGAAGAATGTCCCTCTATGATTTCATCACTGAATTTAGCTCTTTTGGGATTTACACTGTTCACTTCAGAAGTGGAAGTTTGCTTTGATACATGAGGACTTTCACTCATACCTCCCACAGAAAGTGCTGCTCCTGAATGCTGCAATGAACTTGTGAATGAAATCAAAGGAGAACATAACTCTACAGAGCTATTAGGCACAACTTGTGAATTGTTTTTATAATCAGGTTTTGACAAAGGCTCAATAGTAACAGGGCTATCTGTTGATCTTGATTCAGATTCAGAAAGTGGCGAAATAGTCACTGCTTCTGATGGTGGGGTTCCGTGACTTACAGGTCGCAATTTGTGAGCAGCATCTTTTCTGAGGTGACCATACTTTTTTCTCCTTAAACATGAACCTGGGGTGACTCTGTTTAAAATGTTTGAAACAACTGGTTTTGAATGTGAAGTCACCCCAACAAAGATTAGCTCAGCATCTTCATTTCCATGTTCTACACCAACAAAGATCAATTCAGCATCTTCACTATCTACTTGTTTGGTTTCTCTTCTGTTCTGTGGTTTCGGCTCATCTTCTTCAGATAACACATACGGTTGTTCCATTTTCTAATATTTTTATTCTTGAGTGGTGTGGCCACAACTCCCAATGCTTCCTTTACATAAACTGCCACCTAAGTACAAACACACTGCACATCAGTAAGTATAGAAAAATACATTATCTTATTTAATTTTCTCCAAAGCCCTAAGTTCATTATAAATACCATTATTTTTACAGAGGACACAGAGACTCCAAGAGGATAAACAACAGCTTAACGCCCATGTTTACAATAATCTAGAATCATGGCTTTGTCCTATATTTGATTATAGTCTGTTCTATTAAAAAAAAATTCCAACTAACCACTAGGTAAAATCACATACAAAGGACAAATAGTATACAATGGCATCATGTGTACTGTTTAGAAACATGGGCTTTGAACTAGAATATTAAGGTGGAATTCTAAATTAGCCACATACTAGCAACATCTTCTTTGGCAGGACTTTCTTTTAATGTGCTTCTGTATCTTAAAGGCAAAAATTCTTATTTCATAGACTTGAGGGAACAGCTCCTTTTAAAAAGCACCACCATTCAATGGCAGAACTGGAAGAAACTTTATAATGAATGTACATTTCTCAACTGATTCATATATCCTAATTTTATAAGTATTAATATTGAAAAGTATCAAATTTAAATATTAGCATAAGAGTCTTTACACATAGTCAACAAATAACATAATTCAATGTCAAGTACTTAGCACATGCCCAGTATTTTAGATATGAACTCTCTTGATAATCTCATTTCAACTCCAGGTCTTAATTACAATCCATTCACTGAATCTTCCTGAATTTATCCATTCAGTCCTTAACTTAAACCCAACAGTGCTTCCTCCATCATCCCACCTCAGTCTGTTCTCCACATGGCAAAGTGATTTGGCTAGGACAGATTATATACTGGTTATATACTGTTCATCCCTAAACCATCCAATGGCTGTATGGTTCACTCAGTAAAAAAGCAAGTCCTTCCAATGCCTACAAAACCATGCTTTCAGCCCTACCTGCTGCCATACTACATGTATCTCATATTCCTCTTCCCCATGCACTTTGGCCTGGCCACACTAACCTCCTTGCTATTTCTTGAACACATGGAACACTTTGCTTTGCTTGGGGCCTTTGTATTTGCTGTTCCTCTTATCACCCTGTTCTTTTCCAAGTCTCCTTCTCAGAGAAGTTCTTAAATATTTCAAGCAACCTCTAACTCACATTCCTAGTTTCTCTTCATTTCTGTTCAATTCTCAAGCCCTTATAGCCCACCTACCACATTGTCAACTTTGTCTTGATCATTTTCTATTATTTATCCAATAAAATGTTAACTCCAAAAAGTGGGGGCTGACTTTTACTAACTACTGAATCTCCAGAACAAAGAACAATGCCTGGCATAGGCACAGGAGCTCCATAAATACATAATTTGTTAAATGAATGAACAGTAACTCTCATTAATTAGAACATGTATTTATAGAGCAGATGATGATCCATTAATTCAACCTTGTCAGAACCTTGTGAGAAATTCTATAGGCCAATAACATAATTAAAGCTAACTTTTTACAAAAATTTAGGATTACAACCCCAGAGTAAAAATAATAGTAATTTCTATTGAGACCTCTACATAAACACATATAAATAACTGCCCTTATAACATGGGATTTTTTTTTAAAGATTTATTCATTCATGCACACAAAAACTGGGGCACAGGCCAGAAGTGTGGGGGGTGAGAGGCTCCACCAGAGACAGAGTGAGGAAGTGAGGAACAAAACAGGCAGAATGACTGAAATACACTGTTGAGGGGAGCAGTGGGCGAGTCAGGAGAGGCGTGCTGTGCCATGTGGCAATCTCCTTGGCCAGGGATTGAACTCATGCTGCAGTGGCTGCAGACAGCCTCATAGGTTGCCCTTAACCCCTTGCATCACCAGGGAGGCATAACATGGGACATTTTAATATTTCATTTCACTTTTCTTAAATTATCAACCACAAAATCAATTATTATGACTCATCAGTACATGCGTGGTTTGAAAAACACTGGTTTAAAACTACAAAATGTTAACAAAACCACAGTTCAAAACTCACCCATTTCTCACTAAGACATAATGTCAAAATTATCCAATATGGATCCTTCAAATCAGCAAAATCCAATTTATATTTATAAAAATTAGACTGGCATCTAATAGGTACCTTGTACTTCTCAATAGTCAGCATATTAGTTATAATTTTGGAGCGAGCGATATTTAATATTGAAAATGTGACCAATTTGGAAGTGAATTAAAACACAAATACCAATATTAAGCTTAATAAAAATTATTTACAGTTTTCATCACTTATTCCATAACCATATTCTGCTTGCCAAGCACTGAGTAGGAAGTGATAAATGCATGAAATTTATAGTTTAGTATGTGATTAGTGATTTACAACTCTTAAAAAACTAAGATGAAGTAGATAATTAGGAGCTGTATAGTGTAGAAAAACATAATGAGGCAGATTTCCTTAAGCACTGCTCTTTGGAACCAATGAAAATTGATTTAGTCTCTCTACATACAACTGCTATCATCTAATGCCAGTACCATGCCACTAGCGCATTGTTTCTCAACATAAGCACTACTGACATTCTGAACTATATAATTCTTTGTTATGGGAGGCTGTCAGATGCATTTAAAATTCTTAGCAGCATCCCTGGCCTCTACTCACCAATTACCAAGAGCATCCCCTAGTTGTGGCAAACAAAAAGGTTCTATAGGCAAACTTCTACTCTAACCCAATGTTTTCTCAGGATTACTTAACACATGTCTAGTAACTAACTTCTAGGTAATTCTATATGTATACCTACTATCCTCTCGAAAAATCACATGATAATTTGAAAATTAATTTGATTATCTGAGGATGTACTTTAATTTTTATTTTTTTAAAAAAGATTTATTTATGCATACAAGAGCTGAGGTGTAGGCCAGAGGTGGAGGGGGCTAAGTACAGATAGATGGACTGAAATACACTGCTGAGGAAGAGCAGCAGGCAAACAGGAGAGGTCTGCTGTGCCATGTGGGAAGCTCCCTGGCTGGGGATCAAACTCTAGCAGCATAGTGCTGTGACTTAACCAGGGAGGCCCTGAAGATGGACTTTTAAAGCCAAGAAAAGTTTATGATTTACCTAAAGCTATATGTAGTATATGTGGGATTTGGAGACAGTACTAAAACATATGATTACTATATTCAAGTTCTGTGTTCTTTCCACTAGAATTCTGACCATGCATGTCCGATAATGGTGTTATTAACTGCTTAGTCTCTAAGGATCAAAGTGCCTCACTATACTCTCCTTTTATGAAACCTGTTCAAACTTCACCTGCACTGTACCTCCTATCAAATTAGTCACAGTGATTCTAAGTAACTTTTTGGAGCACTGGTCATTCTATATACCTTTTATTTCCATTTCCATCAAAGCATCTCACCATAGCTTATAGGTTTAGGTGCTAGTTTCCATATTATTCTGTCTTGTCTGTTGTTTAAGCTATACATATCACTAGATGAATCTTAAAATATCACTGTAATTATATCACCCCCCTATTCCTAAATGTTAAATGACCCCTTCAATTCTAGAAGTATTGTAGATTATGCCATGGACTAAACTCATGTTAAAGTTCTAACCCCCAATGTGATAACTGAAGATGGGTCTTTTGGGCAGTTAACTAAATCCTCAAAAAACATCACAAATGGGGCCTCCCTGGTGGCGCAAGGGGTTAAGAGGCAACCTACAAGTTGTCTGCAGCCGCTGCAGCATGAGTTTCATCCCTGGCCAGGGAGCTTCCCACATGGCACAGCAGACCTCTCCTGACTCGCCCGCGGCTCCCTCAGCAGTGTGCTTCAGTCGATCTGCCTGTTCTGTTCCCCACTCTGTCTCTGGTGAATCTTCTCACCCCCCACACCTCTGGCCTACACCCCAGCACTTGTATGCATAAATAAATCTTAAAAAAAAAATCACAAATAAGATATAAAGGAAGCAGGTCCTGTTTGATTTACCTCTATCAATATTATAATGAAATGACTTTGAAGAAACCTTACTGGACGACTTGCTATTAGGTTTAGATGAGGTCAAAAGGGTAGAGCCTTTTATGATGGGATTAGTGTACTTATAAGGAGACATCAGAACTTGCCTCCTCTATATCTCCCCCCACACCTAATACGAGGAAACAGCAAGATGTAGGTCTGCAGTTGGGAAAGGAGCCCTCAGTGAGGAACTAGAGCAGCAAGTACCTTGATTTTGGACTTCCTAACCTCCAAAACTATGAGAAATAAATTCCTATTGCTTAAAAATTTTTTTTAAAATACAAAGTCCAGTAACATTGTTGAACTTTCATCCAACTGATCTTGGTTGGATTTTCAGCTGTATTCCCTACTAATTAGCTTTCTATCCAATCAGTCATTCAAGATGAAAAGTGAAGAGTAAAGAATAAATCAGACATAAAAGTGAGTAAATTAAAACCTAGTCAGAGTTCATTCAGAACAAAAGTAACATTAGACCATGGTACTTTTCTAAGTGCTCTTATTTTATGTAATTTACCAGAACCTTCAGATATTGGCATGGGAGACTGGACATACAGAGACCTACTACATCTAAAGGGTCAGTTCTCAAAAACCACTTCCTACCCCCACCAAAGATGTTCCTGTGGGCTATGAGACAAGTCAATGACAAGGTTTTATTGCAAAAACAGCTGAGAGGTAAGTGAGTGATGACCCACCTCCCAGGTTATTCTGGTAGTTTTTTTAACTGAGTATTATAGTGCTACCCCAGCTTTATCACGCATTAGTCCTTCTTAATTAACTTTCTTATTGAGCCACGAGGACTCCTCTGGTACCTATCCTCACTATTTTCATTTGCTGGGCCCTTTTCATCCTACTACTATTTCTCCATATTCCTGTCAAATTCCCTTAATCTCATTCATCCAGAGTACTAGTATCACTTCCCTACCACTCCTCTCTCCCTTCTCCTCCATTAACTCGATGCATTTGCTGCCTCAAAAATTAATTTAATGCCCATTAAACACAGGATCATTAAAACTGCAGTAAACATATGCATTCCATCCTAAGGAAACTAA